TGCGGGAACAGGGGATGTCCCAGGCCGGGCTCCAGGCTTCTGATGTGCCCCGTTCAGGGACTGGAGATGCTGCGAGCAGGGAGCTGCGTGCCTGCCGGCACCGGGAAGACGGGTCACACAAGTGTGAGCGCCTGCCGCCATCTGATGGCGGCTCCCAGCCATCTCACTACTAGGAAGCCCCCCAGGGCCCCGTCTGTCCAATTCTGCTGGGGATGCGTTGCCCTTTGCTGGGGAGCACTTAGCGCCCACCTTTTCTCTTGAGCAATCCCATCCCGCGGGGAGATCCCAGCGCCGGGGCTGGGTGTAGAGGACCCCGGCAGCCGCTAGGCTGTGCTCCCGCATCTCCCACCGCCGCGCTCAGCCCCGTTCCCCGTTCCCCGCCGCAGGACCCGGTCCCGCTCCGCAGCCCGAGCCGTGATACCCCCGGGTGGCAGCACCCAGCGCTGCTCCTCCTCTCGCCCCGCTCCCATCCCGGGGGTGCACTGTGAGTCACCAGCGGGCAGCGGTGGCAGCGGGAGGCCCGAGGCCACGGGGATGGCTGCCAGGGCTGCGGGGGAGGCCGTGCGGGAAGGAGAGGGGCGGTGAGTCAGGCCGCCCGGTGGGGACTTCCAAAAGGAAGTGGCTGGGCTGTGACACATCTTCAGCAGGAGGATGCTGTGAGGGTCCTGGGGCAGCTCCAGCTGTGGGACAGCTCGCTGGATGGGTAGGGGCTGCAGGTGAGGTGAGTGTCACTGCACTGGAGGGGTTCTGGGAAGGGGCATGCAAGGCAGAGGTAGGAGAGCCAACCTGGTGTTAATCTGTGGGGATGGACCTGTGGGACCGCTGCCCTTCTTAGTCCCCCTGCAAGCATCCCTTACCCCACCCACCAGACACAGTGCACTGGGTGCTGCTTGCAACGTGGTGGGTCCTGGCTGCAGCTTCTTTCCGTGACTCGTGCAGTATCACCCATTGGCTGCAAGCTTTTCCCAGGGCTGCATCCGTTGACCTCGCTTTACAGTCGCACAGATGGGGATGTCTCATGGGAGGGCATCCCCTGAGTCACCCCCAGGAAAGCCCAGGCTGAAAGAAAGGGTCCCAGGACCATCAATAGTCTGTATGTGGAGATGGCCAACACGCCAGCTGTGTGTCACCACACTGTCACTGCCTGAGTCACAGTCTGTGTCAGGGTCAGTGGGGCTGTGCAGCTGGCAATGGGGACATGGCATATCCAGAAAGAAGGGGACATGTCCCAGATCTGGGTCAGCTGCTCTAGAGCTGAGTTTTGCACCAACCACTGGGATAGCCCAGCTGTGTAGAACTCAGCACCCTCATTAACCTCCATGCCCCAAAGGCTGTGGGGCCAGAGGCTGGAGCAGAGCTGGGGCCGGCAGCGGGCACACAGGCAGGTTGTTATCGGGGAGACGGGAGGCAGCCTGGGCTGCTCTTAAGTGGGCCAGGCTGATTAGTGCCTTCAAATGCCTACGGAGTTATTCTAAGTCAAGTGGGCGTGAAGGGATCCGAGCTCGCCAGCCTGGGACTGGCGTCGGGCGAGGGACTTGGTTCCCCATCACCTCTGCTCCCCACGGCTCCCAGTGGCCCTATGAGGGGCTCCCTGCTCCAGCTGCCTCTCTCTGTCCCTCACTCCCGCTGCAAAAGGCTGTTTGCTCCAGCCCAGAGCAAACCTGATTTTATCTCCTGACTGCAGTTCCCTTGGCTGTGGGCCATAGTTGATTCCTCCTACGCAGGACTTGTAAAGCCCACTGGGGGACCCGTGCACAGAGCGAGCTGTGTACGCTGCCACATGACATCATGTTTACGGCCCGCAGGGGCCCAAGGACATCCCCTCCCAGCGGCACTGCTCCCAGCCTGCCCAAGCCATGTGCTTCCTTGCTGGCCTGATGTTGGGCAGCATCTTGTGCCCTCTGTGATGGGCAGAATGGCACACAGGGAGCTGGGGGAGCGGGACCAGCCCCAGCACTGTGTTTGTCTGGGAAGAGGTGTTTTCGGCTCTGCTGGACCCTCCAGGCTTGGTTTTTCCCTATGGAGTGTGAAGAATAGAGGCTGTGCTAGCACTGAGTGTGGGCTGCTCAGCAGCACAAGGTCAGGCCCTCCTCAAGTTGTTGCTCAGAGTGAAAGACAAATTTTCTCCCTCTGGGACATGGATGTTCCTGTCTCTCCCAAGACAGAACTGTTTTGTGCTGTTGCACGAAACTGAGGCTCTTGGGAAAAAGAACAGCATCCAGAGCCACAGGGCTCTCTAAAGAGTGTTGAGCCCACCATCCTTTCCTTCCTTCCTTCCTTCCTTCCTTCCTTCCTTCCTTCCTTCCTTCCTTCCTTCCTTCCTTCCTTCCTTCCTTCCTTCCTTCCTTCCTTCCATCCATCCATCCATCCATCCATCCATCCATCCATCCATCCATATATCCCTCCCTTCCTCAATCCATCCATCCATCCTTTTATCCACCTATCCCTCCATTCATCCCTCCATCCCTCCATCATTCCATCCATCATTGTCCCCTCTGTCTGACATCCAGCTGCTCTCACACTTTTGGGGTGCAGGAATCCCTGAGGCTGGCAATGGAGGGTCAGAAACATCTTGAAACCCAGCAGTGAGGATCTCTGGGGCCTCCCAAGGCCACAGCAGGAGTCTGTGAGAATCTCTGTGCCCATGGGTGCCCAAAATGTTGTCACATGGAGATGAGATGCCCTCATTGAGGTATTCTTAGGGGTATGTATGCACAGATGTGAAGGCGTGGACTGGGCTCTGTCCCTATGCAGCCCCTGTGTCCCCCCAGCACCTGCCTGCCCCTCCACACCATTACTCCGCATCCGCAGAAGGGGACCTTGTTGTTTTAATAAGATCATTCTCCTCCCGCCGTGAGGTCGCAACCCCGGGCTGATGACATCACATGGCGCTGCCATGGGGATGCCGGGATGTCACAAACACAGCGCGATGACCTCACTGCAGGAGTGGGAGATGGGGCCAGGTCGGGTTTGATCACCGATGTCCTCGGGAGCGAAGGCGGGGAGGGATGCTGGGAAAAGTATGCGGCTGCTGCGCGCCGCGCTGTTTGGGTTGGAAATGGCCACACTTTCTCCTCAGCAGGGAGGGCCAGTGCCCTCCGTTCCCCCCCATGGGCCCCCTGGTTGTGGATGGGGGGCCCTGATGTCAACACCCTACAGCTGGACACTGAAGCACCCATGTGCCTCTGCAGCCCACGGCATCACCGCTTGGGGACCCACAGCCAACAGGGGGGGAGCACCTGGGCTCCCCATCTCTGCTGTGTCCCCCCCAGCACCTCCCATCATTAATTTCCATCAGTGGCCAAGAGGGTCCAGGGCGGGGGGGTGGGGGGGTGGCCGAGAAACACAGCGCTTTCCCCCTGATAGCAAAAATAAATACATTAAAATTCTTGCAGGAGGCAGAAGAATGCAGGACGGCAGGAAAAAATTGTTTTATAATTTGTAATAACACAAAAGCCAGAGGGGGGGGGAGGAACGATGAGCTGTGAGAGGCAAGGGAAGGCTGAGACAAAGGGCTGGCTGTGGCAAAGAGGGCTGCTTCTTGGTGGCGGTCCCCCAGAGGATGGGGTCCTTTGGGTCCCAGTACAGAGGAGGTGGCCTGTGGTTGCATGGTGCCACGGCTCCCTGCGTGGGTCTCAGCATCACTGTGCCTCAGTTTCCCTTTCTGAATGGTGAGTCATCAGCCCCATACCCCCACAGGGGACAGACAGTTCACCCCATGTCTGACATGGCAGTGGGGACGTGACAAGGCGAGTCACTGTGTGCCAGGCACGCACCTGCTGTCGGGGTGGGCCCCCCCTTTTCGGGATGAAATCAAAGGGATTTTTCTGCCCTTAGGAAATCAGATAAAGGCTTCTCACCTGCCCCGTGCTCCCTTTGCGGTGCAGATGAAGGCAGCAGGGAGCTCAGGGAGGGGGACAACAGACGTTTTCAACACAGTGGCAGATGAGCTGTGTGTCACTGCAGCACAGTGTCAGCCCAACAGGGATGTCCCCTCCCCAGGAGCTGCCTATCCATGTGTCCCCCCTAAACTCAAGGCAACAAGGAACTCACGGGACAGATGGGATAGAAGTTGGTGGCTGAAAGTGAAAGACTCCAGGAGGTGGACACGGTGCTGAAGTGCAGACGTATTCCCCAGCTCAGGACCCTGTGTCCCCATGGATGGAGGGAGGAGAACTCGAGGCTGGTCACCACCCCAGGGGTGCAGAGCTGGAGGCAAAAGGACAGGGGGAGCCTGGGCTGAACCCCGGGTAACTGTTCCCAAGGCTGTTTAGGGGAGTTAAAATTGAGGTGGCAGCCTATGGGCATTGATCATCCCATCTCCAGCCCTGTTGTGCACCCCTGCTCCCTCCCCAACCCCTCACCTCCCCCTGGGTAGGTCCTGCTGCCTGCTTGGAGCCATGCTGGGGCTGCCTTCCTCCCAGCCCCAGCTGCACCTAAAATGAGATCACCTTAACCAAGCTGCTCCCCCCCACGCTCCTCTCCTGCACCTTCTCTGCACTATTTGCTCCTGGGGAGCTCCTTGCCCTGTCACCCCTTTACCCCAGGGGTGGCTCTGCAGAGGAGTGGATCTGGGTGCTGAGAGGCGCTTGGAGGTGTCTCTTGTCATGGTCCCCAGATGAGACAGCCTGATGCAATGCCAGTAGTGCCAGGTTTGTGACAGGCAGACCCCACAGGAGAGAGGAAACCAGGCCACCGCAGGGTTGCCAGGTGTGGGCAGTAGGCACCAGGAACGGGTGCAGGTGGCAGCGGGCACCTCGAGGGCAGGCTGAACAAGGCAGGGCAGTTCTAGGAGCCCGGGCAGGGCTGTGCCGAGCACGGCAGCAGGGACGTGGTGACAGGCAAGCCGCTGCCACCGTCCGTGCCCACGCCGTGCCGAAGGTCTGCGTGCACGGATCTGCGCTTGGCATCCCGGAGTCCCCCCGCCCGGCCCGCCCTGTCCGTCCCCCCGGGCTCCGGTTTCCCTGTTGGAGGCAGATGCTTTCGCAGCCCTGTCCCTCCTCCTCCTCCTTCTGCGGAGCAGCCTCCTCGCCGCGCTCCAGCCGCCCGGAGGTGCCTGCCCAGCCCGGCCCCCCCCCGGCCCCGCTGCGCCGGGCTGGCGGAGGGAGGCAGCGGGCAGCCCCGCAGCCCTCCGGGGGGCTCGGAGGGGGCTCGGCTCTCCCGACTGGCCCCCAACCTTGGCAGAATGTTGCACCGCTCTCGGACCCAGCTGGGGCTCTTCTTCATCCTCCTCTGCCCCGCCAACATCATCGGGCTCTGGTGGTGAGTATAGGGCATCCTGGGGGGGCGGACGGGGAGGGGGATTGCCGAAGGTTTCGCTGGTTCGGGGACTGAGCCCTCGGGTAACCGCTTCGGTGGAGACAGCGGTGGGACAGAGCCAGCCTATGGGGTGTGCGCTGCCTGGTTTGGGATCCCCAAAACCGGTGTTGGGGTCAGAACTGCGGAGGCTTTGGGGACGAGGCCTCTCCCCCACAGCCTCTCCCCGCACCCCGAGCACTGAGTGCCTTCGGGGCAGGGAGGGGCCTCCAGACCCCTCCAGTAAGTCAACTTTAATTAAAAGCCCGAGGGTCCCCACGGCGTCCCCTGGACGCAGCGGGGACAAAACCCCCGTTTGTAATGGTGCCTTCATCAAAGGCAGCAGGGACGGTGCCTCGCAGGATCCCGGAGGGGGTGGGGGATTCATTACAGAGCTGGGACCCAGCCTCGGAAAACCCAGGTATCTGTCGAAACATGAACTATTTAAATCTATTAAGAATTTCACCCAGCCTGTCTTTATCCGGTTTTAAGTGCTTAGATTCCAGCTCCCCGGCGTGCCGTCCGGGCTATCATTCATTATCTGAGGCTATTCGTCTCCACATTGTCACACTCTTTTGACCCCTAAAATAAAGCTCTCCGTAAGCCTTTCCCCTCCCGTTCCCCCGCACGCCCGGCACTGATTTATTCCGCAGCTCCATCCCCTCCACCAGCGCGGGGCAAAGCGGGGGGGGGCTCGGTGGGTACGGATGGTGCCGGCGCTGTGCTGGCAGAGTTGCTGGGGAAGGGGTTAAATCGGGTCGTGGCGTTTCGGTGCAGAAAGCCCCGGCAGGGTACGGTGCGTGCCGCGCTCCCTGCTCCCCACCGCTCGCCTCCGGACATCTGCGCCATCCCGGAGCACGCTCCCTCCCGCCGGCTGAGAGCTGCGTTATTTCCTTGGCTCGCTCTCAGCCCGCTGCTTTGCGCACGCAAAAGGCTGTCCCTCCATCCGTCCCGGGGGCTGGTGGCGGCGGGAGAGCTTCTCTTTGCTGTCCCCCGTGCGTGGGGGTCTCGGCGTTATGCCTTGGCACAAGAACTCTTAGAGCTGAGAAAGAGCATCCTTACTGCAGTCGGGTGTCCTCAGAAGGATCGCTGAAGATACAGGAACGCTCATCCCCTGTGCCCTGCACCCCTGTGTCTGAGGAGAGGCAGGGGACAGAGGGACAGGCAGACACACAGACCTTCCGCATTCAGAGGGGAGAGTGGTGTCAACAGGGAAGCTGTGCCATCGTGCTGCAGGGCACTCAGTTTGCACCAGGCTGTGGTCTTAGGAACCGAAGGCATATTCAGGGCAAGATTTTGGCTGAGGGGATTTGTGGTTGTTTCCAGTCTGTGCGCTTGCCCCCGGCCACTCTCACAGCTGTTCCTGCTGATGTGTCACCATTGCTGCTAGCTCCTGCTCACCTGCAGCCCCCCCAGCCTGACCAAGCTGTTCATAGAGGCACTTTGGGGTAAACAAAGTCAAGAGATAAAAGAAACAGCCCCAGCATCAGAGCAAGGAAGAAAAGAATCCCTGCAGTGCCTTGATCTGTCTGGCACCCATGGGCTCCCCCTGTTACACCCTACCAAGGGATTTGTGGTCCCTCTCCCCAGAGCCACACACTGTGGGCTCCGTGCACCAGCAGCCTCCTGTTTTGCTCAGCCACCTGACCAGCACCACACTGGTACAGAGCACGGCCGAGCCTGTAAGGGCAGGCTGCTGGACTGGCAGTGCTTTGAGTGAGCACTGTGAGTCACTTGCTGAGCTCAATGGACCCACAGCCGCCACCCGGCTGCCCTCAGCCCCCCAGTGCCTGCAGGCCATCCCGGGCATGCCCCAACCCTGGCACGGCCAGCGTGGGTGCCCTGTCCTGTGGGGCAGTCACACTGAGCAAACATCCCTTTCTTCCCATCCCAAGGTATTCCAGGCTTGGACACAGTTTTGTGGCCACCACCTCCATGGGTGCGTGCTCCAGGAGCTCAGCTCTCAGTGCTCATATCCCACAGCTCTTTTCTCCGCAAACAGGTGCAGCAACACCTCTGGGCTCAGGGGCTTGTCTGGGCACCACAGGTTGCTGCAGCCTTTAGCTGGGATGGAGACATGGGTGCAAGGCGAACTGTGCCTTCATCACCCTGCAGAAGGGTCCCACGTTTCCTCCATGGAAAAGCACATTATCTGGTGCACTGAAACCCAAAGCACAGCCAGCATTGCTAGAAGACATCCCTATGCCCCTGCTCCATACTGCATGTCAGCAGCACAGCCCAGGCCAGTGGGATGGAAATATGCCCTTTTGGAAAGGAGCAGGGAAGCCAAATGCAACACTGAGATGCACCTTAGCATCCCTGGAGCATCCCTCCATCACCTGCCTGCAAACAAGGACCCTATGGGCTCTCCTTGTGCATAGTGCCCTGCACAGGAGCCCTGCTCCATGCTGCCCAGGGTGCCTGAGGGTGAGCGGGATTTGTGCCAGGTCCTTCAGTCTAAGATTTTGGCTCGGAACTGGGCTGGAGTCTCCGTCACCCTGAGGACAGGGCTTGCACCAGAAGCTGCAACTTGGGCTTCCTGATGCCAACAGGGTGGCAGCTGCATGTCAGTGGAGGAAAGGTTTTTAGGGCAGGTCCAGGTCCTCTGCCATGCCTCATTTTCCCCTTTTGGCGATGGGGGCTGAATCCCTTGCTAGGAAGCACTGCAGAAATCACTGCAGTCCGCATTCTGAGGGGCTGCCACTATGTGCCATTCCAGTAGTGGGCGCAGGAATGCTATGGGGGTACCGAGCTCAGCAAGGGGCTGCAGAACTGAAGTGCCCTGGGTGGGCTGGGGGGGCACGCTGGCGACCCAGCTTCATCGCCAGGGCAGGGGGAGGAGTGCCCGGCGGCAGAGGTGGGGCACCTTAATTGTAGATGCGGGAGGCCTTGGAGCAGGACAAGCTCAGGCAGATCTGGGCCCCGCGCCGGAGCCCTTGCCAAAGCAGTAGCAGTTTGGCAGCATTTTTCTTGCCCTCGTCTCCCCCCCCCCCCCCCCCCCCCCCCCCCCCAGCCCCACATAGGAAAACAGCTCTCGGGCTCCCAGAAGCCTCCCCTCACGAAAAAGCAGAGCCCAGCGGAAATTAATATTGCACCGGACTTAGGCAGCCCACCCCACGCCTCGCCGGGTCGGCCGGGGCTGATGGCCAGGGGTGGGGACCCCCGCGGTGCCGCTGGGGCTGAGCGCTCCCCATCCTGCCGGCCCCTCTGATCCGGCACGGCCGGGGTGAGCCGCAGTTCAGCATTTGATCTGAGGGCCCGAGGGCTCGTGCATCGTTTTTATAAGATGTACAAAGAGTCCTCGCTTAATGAAAGTCCCATCCCCAGCTCCCCTTCTTCCCCACCCCGTTGGATCAGCCAGGCGAGCCTTCCCAGCCTGGGATGAGAGTTTGAATGGCCACATGGATATCATGGGGTGGGACGGGATGGGACGAGATGGGATTGGATGGTATGAGACGGGGTGGGATTGGATGAGACAGGCTGCCCACATGCCTCAGTTTCCCCATCTGCAGATGACTTAGAAGGGAACTGGGCGTTTTTTGTCCCATGATGCTCCTCCAGTTGCCCACCAAAAGGACACCAAACTGTGGGCTGCAAGCTCCTCCACAGGCCCATGGACTTGCCTCAGTTTCTCTGCTGGCAGCCAGATTCACAGACTGTACATTGCTTTAGTCCTTTAAACGTTCAGCTGAACTGTCAGGGCCCATTTTCCTGACTGAGAGGACATGTCAACCCCCACCCAGCCCTGCTCGCAATGTCCCCATCCCAACCTCTGTCCCTATCTGTTCCAGGGATGGGTCAGCCTGGTCCAGAGTAGGTGTGGGGCAAGGGCAGCCTGCGCAGAGCTTGCACCCCAAAATTAGGCTTTAGGAGGGACTTTGTGGTTCCTGCAGCCTCGTGTCCCATACACAGCCCCCAAGCTGAGAGAGGGAGAGAAAAAAGGAAACCCAGGACATACTTAAACACAGAGATTCATCTTGTGATTTTTGAGCCCCTGGGGCTTGGCCAGACTATAAAGGCTTGTCTGGGTTTGGAAGAAGCACTCAGCAGCAAGCGGGGCTGCACCCAAAAACATGGCCTGGGAGCTTCCACACCAGGAGGGGATGGGAATGGCACACAGTGCCTGGGATGGGACACTGCTGGCACAAGGCTGAGAGGATCTGGCTTGCAGTACTGGGGCACAGCACCTTCCCTTTGCAATTCAGGTGGCCCAGGGCCACGTGCTGGCCAGAAGTACCCGGCACTGCGGGACAGGCAGCGTGGGCAGGAGGCTGTCAGCACACGGCATGCCCGCCCTGTGCCCGAGGCACTGCTGGGCCATTGCCCACCCCGGCACGGGGCACGGGGCACGGTGCCGGCAGCTGTGCAGCTGCGTGAGGGCACTCTGGGCAAAATGTGTGGGGAAAGTACAGGAATTTCTGTAGCCGGCGGCGTGCCGTTGTGCTCAGGCTTTGCCTTCCAGCCTGAGATGCGTGCACGGCTCTCCAGCTGTGCTGGCAAGGAGCTGCTTTTGGCAGGGCCCCAGCTGAGACTTGCCCTCCCGCGCTGGGATCAGCAGAGCCAGCACCACCCTCCAGCCCCACAGCTTGGGCTCTGCCCCATCCCTGGCCCGCTCTGCAGGGCACGGCATCCCCCACATGCTGGGTATCCCCGGTGGTGGATCCGGCCATGCCTGGTGCTGGTTTTGCTCTGCTCGCTGTCCCTCCTGCAGGGCAGTGGGGAGCCCCCTGGTCATGGACCCCAACAGCATCTGCCGCAAGACGAAGCGGCTGGCAGGGAAGCAGGCGGAGCTGTGCCAGCTGGAGCCAGAGATCGTGCAAGAGGTGGCCAAGGGCACCAAGCTGGGCGTGCGGGAGTGCCAGTACCAATTCCGCTTCCGCCGCTGGAACTGCACCAGCCACAGCAAGTACTTCGGCAAGATCCTGCAGCAGGGTAAGGTCCAGCCTCACAACTCCTAAAAAACTGCAGCCCCTGGGCTTTGCACCTCCTGGCACAGCTGGGGCAGAGCCGGAGCGTGTGGACGTGTGTGCACGCAGAGGGGGTTGCTCAGAGCTCTGTGGTGCAGCCAGGCTGCCGGGACATGTCTCCCTGTGTTGTAATGAAGCAATTAGCGATGCTCCCAGACAGCGCGGGGCTGCACACAGCCCAAGAATGCACCCTCGTCTGGCAGTGATTTACTGCTCCCTCAGGACCCTGCTATGTGGGGAGGGGAGGGGGCCTGGGTGGGAGGTGGCCCCGCAGGTGCCTAGACCATGCAAACCCCTTGTCCTGCCCCTGGGGCATCACCTCTGTGTGCACTTCCCGTGCCCAAGGCATGGCTGTAGGGCAGGATGAGTCAAACCCATCCATTGGTCCAACCCAACGCCAGTGCAACACCAGGGTGGGGGGCTGAGAGATCAAGCGGAGGGGAGAGTGCTGTGCTAGCAGGATCACTTCCATGGGCACCAGTTCCACATCAGTCCCTGTGCTGGAGAGAACATGAGTGCTAGTGCAAGACCAGGAATCTGCCCCTGGAGCTGATCACTGGGGAGAGGAGGGACAGCTGTTTCCTAGGTGGTGCAGCTGGAAAAGCATCAATGTGCCCAGTTCCCTTTCTTCCCACAGACTCCCCCAATTCTGAGAGCATTTCAGGGCGTGGGATGTGGAAACAGCCTTCCTGCAGGCCACGTGTGCTGTCCTTCCCTCCCTGGCCCATCCTCGGCACCACACAGCACTCCCCTGCAGCACTGCAAGGACACATCCCCTGGCCAGCTGTGTCCCAGCTGTAGGGAATGAGTGACAGTGCAGGGCTGAGGGGCAACCTGAGAGCTGCAGTGAGCAAGCAGCTGTGCATGTGTGCAGGGATGGGGTCACTGTGAGAACGTGTGACACATCTCTATCACATGTGTGATATGTTGGTGGGTCAGGACACGTGTGGGGCATGGTGCAGCCATGGTGCTGGGGCTGCTCCTGGCAAGATGAGGCTCCCAAATTTTGCCACAGATATGAAGAGACACTGTGTTCCTGCTTCTGTTATCAGAGTTGACTCCAGTGACCAAACCGATGCACCTCCCCAAGTCCCCTTTCCCTCTCTATATGGATTGCAAAAAGAGTTACATTTGCCATTGATCTTCCCCTCTGTCCCCATGCCACCCTAATTAAATGTGTCCCCACCCCCTGCCAGCCCTGTCCTGGCACCCACCTGGCACAGGGTAAGCCATGAGCCCCCCAGCATGGTGCTGCACCCCCGCTGCCAGAATCCCCCGCTGGCTGCGGCTGCGAGCGGCAGGTCCGGGCAGGGGAAGGATGCTTGGAATTTGTGTCCCGGAGCAGAGAGAGACAAGAGCAAATACTAATAATAAATAATCCTGCGGGGTGGAGGCTGTGCTGGAGCAGGGAGGAGGGTGGGCAGAGCCCCATGGCAAAGTGAGTATAGGGGGGGAGCAGGCAGGATGGCATCCTCACTGTCACCTCGCACCTTGTCCTCCTCTGTCTCCCTGCAGACATCCGGGAGACAGCCTTCGTGTATGCCATCACAGCGGCCGGTGTCAGCCACGCCATCACACAGGCCTGCAGCATGGGCGAGCTGCTGCAATGTGGCTGTGAGCTGACACGGAGTCGGGCACCCCCATCACCCACAGCTGGGCCGGGCACCGAGGGCACAGCCTGGGAATGGGGGGGCTGTGGGGATGACGTGCAGTTTGGCTATGAGAAGTCGCAGCAGTTCATGGACGCCAAGAGCAAGAAGGGGAAAAATGACATCCGTGCACTCATTGATCTGCACAACAACGAGGCTGGGCGCTTGGTAAGGTTCTATGCACTCCCTGCTCCCTTTAGCATCACCTTACACTCCTTTGGGTGAAGCACAGAGCATCAAGAGCATCATCCCTACAGACCCCAGTATGGTTTGGAAGTCCTTTGGGACTTCTGTCCATCCTTCCCTGGGTGATACCACTAGACTGGGTATGCAGGGAGGCAGGGATGAAGGAATACAAGGGTGTTGGATTCAGAGATGCAGGGATGTAGGAATGCTGAGATGCAGGGATGCTGGGATGCCAGGATGCTGTGATACTGAGATGCAGTGATACTGGGATGTAGAGAGGTGGGTACCAGGGGAATAATGGGGACTCAGCACTGCCGTCTGTCCGCAGGCAGTGCGCAGCTACATGAGGACAGAGTGCAAATGCCACGGGCTCTCGGGCTCCTGCACGCTGCGCACCTGCTGGCGCAAGATGCCCCATTTCCGCGAGGTGGGCGACCGCCTGCTCGAGCGCTTCAACGGCGCCTTCAAGGTGATGGGGGGCAATGATGGGAAGACCCTCATCCCGGTGGGCGACAACATCAAACCTCCCGATAAGCAGGACCTCATCTACTCGGCCGACTCGCCCGATTTCTGCTCTGCCAACCGGAAGACGGGCTCGCTGGGCACGAGGGGCCGCGTCTGCAACAGCACGGCCATGGACACGAGCGGCTGCGACCTGCTGTGCTGCGGGCGTGGGCACCGCGATGAGACCGTGGTGCTGGAGGAGAACTGCCTGTGCCGCTTCCACTGGTGCTGCGTGGTGCAGTGCCGCAAGTGCTCCGTCCGCCAGGAGCTCAGCCTCTGCATCTGACGGCCTCTCCGTGGGGCGGGGACACTTGGGGAGCCGCCCCCAGGATGGTGCCGAGGGCACAGGGACACAGAGAGGTGACGCAGTGGGACCTTATGGGATGGAGGACTGTGAGCCCAGCTCTGCGGTTGGATGTCCCTGCAGCGTGGGGACGCTACCCAGCATCCCCACGGCCCTGCAGTGGGGCTGCAGTTCGGAGCTTCGTCTAATAAAGCTATTTAAAGCCGGTGTGCCCTCTGCTCGCCTCTCCGCAGCAGGCACTGCCACCCGCCCCAACACGGTGGTGATGGGCTTTGTGCATGTTGCCGGCATCCCCTGTTTTTCTCACTCTGTCTCCAGTCACCTCTGCTGCAGGGCCTGGCATGGCAGAGCCCCATGCAGTGCCGCTGGCACCTGGGGTTGGTGGCATGCGAGGCATTTGCTTGGCATGCCATTGGCCACGTGCAGCCTCATCTGGGCGGCACAGTGCCAGGCGGGGAACCTGAGCAGCCCATACCCTGCTGGGCAAACGCGGGGCGAGGAGTAGCAGCAATGCCCATCAGCAGATCCTGGCGGCACGCTCCTTGTCTGCCCCATCCATCAAGCAGAAATCAGGGTGCCGACGAACCATTAAATTGGCCCAGGGAGCGCTGGGGCGGGAGCATCTACATGTCAACTGCAGCTTTAGAGTTGGAAATTCCCTCCTGGCTCCAGGAGAGGGGCGGCACACGGGGCTCCCGGGAACTCCCGGCCGCACGCACGGCCCTGGAGCACATGGGTGTGTGTGCCAAGATGCGTGTGTGAGCAGGCAGCTGCAGTGTGCACGCTCAGGTTGCACGCCCACACATGGTCATGCCTGCACGTGGGCATCCGATTCCATGCATTCACCCTTTGCTCTGTGTGTGAGAATCTTGTGTGTGTGCGAAAGGTTCTCCCACGTGGCTCCATGCATGTCCGTCAGTGCATGGCAAATTGTCAGCATGCATTTGTCGGTGACCCCATGTGTTTGCTTGCATGTATCTTAGCTCTGTGTCACCACTGTTCTCCCTCTACACTGTCCCAGTTGCTCTGAATCTGACTCGCTGGGAGATGTCAGAGTGCAGAGGCTGTGCTGGGGCTGGGAGCACTGTTCCTTGGCTCCATCCCAGTCTTCCACAATCTGCTTCCTTGGGGGCTGCCTCAGTTTCCCCACAGTGGGCTGAACATGCATGGCACCGGAAGACTGGATGCCACCTAAAGCCTGGGGAAGGCAGGAAATTGTTGTATGGGGTCTGACCTGTGTCCTTCCTGCCATTTCCCCAGAGGCTGAAAACCCCAAAATCCAGAAGAAGAGGAACCTGGAAAACAGAGATCCCAGCGTCCTGGGAAACCTCATTTCCCTAGCAGCCCCCAGACGCCTAGCAGTGCCCCGGGGCTCTTTAGATCCTCTCCTCTCCAGACCCTCCTTAGAGACCCCCAATAGCCCCCATAGCCCCCGCAGCATCCCTGCCGTAGCCGTGGCAACGCGGGATGCGCGGTGCGGGACGGGGCGCGTTGCAGGGCGCCGGACAGCCGCTAGGGGGAGCCACGGCAAGGCGGGGGGGGGGGCTGGGGTGCGTGGGGACTTATGAGGGTGGGCACGGGCTGGTTGTGTATGGAGGGACATGGTGAGGTGTGGGGGGGAATGATCCCAGATCTTGGTGCTGGGCAGTGTAACTACAAAGCTTCCCAAGGGAAAAAGGGAAGTTGATAGTATTTTGGTTAAAAATAATAACAACAATGCCCAAATGCTGTAATGTTAATGGCTTCATTTTTATTTATTTGTTTTTCAAATGGGATGAGAACAATTTTCCCTTCAATTGCTTGAGCTGAAAACAGCCAGACAGATTAATTCAATCAAACTTGGGGGAAAAAAATCCCCTCTGGATAGAGACCAAAAAATAGAATGTTTTGGCCAAAAAAAAAAAAAAAAAAAGGCTTTTTAGGAAAGTTCGTAGTAATACAGATAGGGGGAGGATGGGAAACCCGGATACTGGCTTGGCTGAGGGAAAGCTCAGATGGCAGCACCCAAAACCATCCATCCACAACCTCTGAGAAGTCCCAGCCAGGGCTCCCACCACCCTGGCACTGCTCTCCTGGGGGTCCCCACATCCTCCCAGCCCCTCCAGGCAGCTGCTCCCACCACCCTGCTCTGTCCCTGCTCTCTCCAGGGACAGATGTCACCTGTACAGCCATGGGATCCCATCCGTTCTGAGCTGCCCAGCACATGCCCAGCCCTATGTCCCCATCACCACCCCAGCCACCAGTATGGCCCTTTGGGACGTGCTCTCCCTGCCAGAAGCAGGGCTCTGGGCTCACCGCCACATGGGTCCTCTTCCCAGCCACACCAGCACCCCAACTTGCAGGCTGTCCCAGCCCCTGGCAGCTGGGCAGACAGGCTGGGCTGGCTGTGTGACCGGGTGGCTCGCACTTGAGTCATGGCAAGCAGCCCCAGGCAGGTCGCCGGCCATGAGCCAGGGGGAGGGCAGTGATGCTGGAGGCTCTGTGGTGAGTAATGCCACTGCCAGGGGCATGGTCATCCCGTTCCCACCCCAAACATTGACTCATGCAGCCGTCACTCCAGTCCCATAGGCAGGGGAAGTAGGAAGATGCTGAGGAGCTGCATGGGTTCCTTCCTCCTCCTCCTGCTCCAGGTCCCCGTGCTGCTGGCATCAGGCTGGTGCTTCTTCACCACCATCCATCCACACTCAGGGATTCCCTGGTGCTCCCTCCTCCACTGACCTCCATGAGATTGTCCATGGACATCCCAAATCCCCATGGGTTCCACAGAGTCCAGTGCCAGAACATGGAATGGTTCTGGTTTCTGAGCTGTACGGCTTGGGGATAGATTGTCCCAAAGTAGAAGGGGCTAAAGAGTATGAGGTTGCACAGAAGAGCTGTGGATGTACATCCCTGCAGTGCTCAAGGCCAGGCTGGATGTGGCTCTGGGCAAGCTGATCTATTGAGAGATGCTCCCCATGGCATTGAGGTTGGATGAGATTTTCATAGTCCCTTCCAAAGGGGAAAGAGAAAGAAGCAGGGAAGGAGGGGACAGCTTGACTGGGCAGGAGGATGGGAAGGACAGAAAGGGATGGAGGGAGGGAGGGAGGAAAGGAGGGAGGGCGGTTTGTGTGTGGTGAGGGGAGGATAGCTGTTTCCAAGCCCCTGCATAGAGCACCTGTTCATGTACCACAAAAATTGCTGAAGTGTTTTAGCCCAGGCAGTGCAGCCCACAATGCCCTGTGCCAGCAATCCACCACATTTCTTGCCAGCCCTGTGCCCTCTGCATACAGCCCTGCTCAGAGAGGCCCGATCCAGTTCCATGGGCTCTTATCCATGATTCCCAAGCCAATGACAAATGCTTAATTCTGTGTTTAAGGGGTTTGCTGGCTCACCTGGCTCTCTCTCAGCCCAGGGACATTGTTGGGACAGGAGGATCAACCTTCCCCCCCGTCCACCTCTTCTGCCAGCACTGAGTTGGTGGGACGTGGGGCTCCTCCCGCAGTCAGTGGGAACATGTGGGTGAGACGCTCACTCTTGGAAGCAGTTATGTCGTTAGGGGCTGGAGGAGGATGAAAGCGTTCCCCCCTCTGGTTTGCCTTGGCATTGATTTGTGTGCAGGATCCCAGCGAGCGCACAAACATCTGCGCCACCGCAGCCCATGCACTGGGGACCCTGGAACTGCGGGAGACGCTTTCTACAGGCTCTGCCGCTGCAGTACGGACCTCGGTGGGGATGCCACCCCTGGTTCCCACAGTCCCCACGGGAAACGGCACGGCCTTGGGGCCCAGCACCAGCTCGCAACTCATTGCCCAAAGGAAATGCGTTTTCCTCCCCGGTGCAAACAGGAACCGACACGCCGGCGAAGCTGGCAGCCCCCGCCAGCGCAGCTGTGCCGGCACAGAGACACGCGGTGCCCGCCTGGGGGAAGCATGCAGCCTGCTGCCGGCGTGGCGTGGGCTGTGGTGGCTGGGGACAGCGGGAGCTGCGGGGCACTGCCCGCCCCTCCCGGCGACCCGCACCTGCTGGCTCCCAAGGGGCTTCACGGCAGGGAACTGAGCTCAGGGGACAGCACTGTCTCTACTGCCAGGATTGAGACGCGCTAAAGCAGACGGTGCCCACTGACAGCCCACTGTGTAGCTCTCTCTGTGCGTGCTTACTCCATGGCCCAGTTGTTTACCCTCTGCCACACACGCTCCCCCATGCAACACACACCCAACTCACACTGCACTCACCAATACTCTGCACGAACAGCATGCCCCACACATGCACATTCATACCAAGCACACGCTCACCCCACCAGCTGTGCACAGCTGCCATACACTCCACACACATTCACCCCCATTGCTCCCATTTTCTCCACGCTCCTTGCACACTCACCATGCACACTAACTGCACCATGCACAATCCATGCAGCATACACACTTCTCCTTGCCATGCACTCACTCGTGCTGTGTACACTCCCCCCACACCCTATGCATGTTCACTCTGTGTTACACACACTCCTCTGTACTCATGAAATCACTGCTCGTGCCCCATGCATACCCACCCACACCCCGTGTACTCACATGCATTTTGTGCACACTCACACCGTGCACACTCATCCCACACTCTGCATACATTCATCCCAAGCCACGCACACTCTGCCACGCTCTATGCACACCCTCTGCACACTCACCTAACTCCTCGTGCACTCACCCATGCCCACAGCTTCCTGCCCTATGCGCACTCCCCGATCCCCTCGCACCGTGCACACTCACCTTGCACCCCGTTCACCAACGTCTGTGCACACGACCCCCGCACCCCTCACGCCCCGCTCGCTCCCCACGCACCCTTCCCCATCCCGCACTCCCCATCCTGGCTCCCCGCACGCTCTTCCCCGCTCCGTGCCCGCTCCCCCCGCTCCCTCCCCGCCAGGCTGCGTGCGACACGCCGCCTCCCCGCCCCGCTGCCACCCTCTCTGCCCCGTCCTTCCCCCGCGGGCTCCTGTCTGGACGTGTCGGGACTCGGGCTCCGGGCGCTGAGTAATGCTCGGCGCAGCGCGATCCCAGGCAGAGCCGCCGCCGCCGCCGCTCCGCGCCCAGCGCTGCCGGGGCGCTCCGGCCGCGACCCTGCCCGCTCGGCCCGGCGACACCGGCGGGGGGCGGCGGGGGGGCCCGCGGCTCCCCATGTGCCTGCGGGCCCCGAGGGAGCCCCCGCGCCGCTCGCCCGGCCACCCCCCCCGGGCGCCCTGCCCACGCCCGCCGCGGCCCCGGAGCCTCGGGGCGCCCTGGGGAGCGGCGGCCGAGGGCCCCCCCGGCCCCCCGGGCCGCGCCGCTATGGGGGGCTGAGGCGGGAGGCTGAGCGCGGCGGGGCGGCGGTGGGCAGGGCGGGGGGCACGCAGCCCTCGCCGGGCTCGGAGGGCGCTGGGGCGGCGGGAGGCGGCGGGGGGGGCATCCCGGGAGGATGGCAGAGCCGCCCCGGCGAGCCGAGCCCCGGCGCGCAGGGAGCCAGTGAGAGGGAGGAGAGGGGAAAACACAAACAAGCAAACAACCCACAACAAACAAAGCGGGCAGAGAGCAGCGCCGAGCCCCGCCGCCCCTGCCCCAAAGGCGCCCGCCCGCCCGCAGCCCGCACAGCCGCTGCCCCAGCGAAGATGCGCCCGGCCCTGGCCCACGGACTCTGCTCGCTGCTGCTCAGCCTCTGGGTACCCAGGTAGGAGCTGCCCCCACCCCCAGCGCCCCGACCCCCGGCAAGCCCCCGCGCACAGTCCCGCTCCGGGGTCGAGCCGCGGAGGGGGCTCCACGGGTCCTCCCCCTGCTGCGGTCCTCCCCCCGGTGCGGTCCCCCCCGCCGCCCCGCGCGCCCCGCCGCCCCGCTCCCCGCGCTCCGGGCGCTGTCAGGGCCGCTGCTACCCCCGCTCCGGGTGCTTCTCGTTATCCTCCCGGCACGAGCCGCCCCAGCGGCTGCCCGGCTTGCCTCAGTTTCCCCGCTCTGCCCCGCGGGAGGTCGGGGGATGCGGAAGCGGCGCTGGGGGCCGCTGCCGCCGTCGAGGGAGAGGTGCCGCCGGCATCGGTGCCTTCGGGCCCTGCACCCGGGGACCGCGCACCGGGGCGGGGGAAAAGGCCGGTTTCCCACCCCAACCCGGCTCTGCCGATCCCGAAGGCGAACTGGGACGGCTGGGGGCCGCCTGCCTTCCAGAACGCGGCCCCCCCCAGCACTCACCGCCCCCGTCCGGCTCCATCTCCCTCGGGGTGAGTGGGAGCTCCCCTCTGCCCGCTCCGAAACTTGTGCGCTGCAGGCAGCCAGGGGTTAACGCTGCTGCTGGTGGGGGGGAGTCCCCCGCCCTTCCCCCTCCCTCCAGCCCCTTTAAATATAATTTGTTAACGTTGGGCCTTGTATTAATTAAAGCAGCAGCCGCTGCAGCCTGTGACCCGGGGGCTTGTCACCGTGAAATCAAGTTTAAATCCTGATTTCAAGGGGAGAGAGAGCTGGGGGGAGCGCTGTGTCCTCCTAGGGACGGTGACAGTGACAGCCCCGTGCGGGTCCCTCGCTCCCATGAGCTCTGGGAGGAGCGAGAGGCAGCAGGACCTGCCCTCCTCTCCCGATGCCCTACAGAAGGGCCCCTGCCTCAGTTTCCCCTTTGTGCTATGGGGAGAGTGACAACATTATCCGTCCTCCAGGGTGCTGCTGGACGAAGGTGGCAGGCATTGGGGCTGGCTCAGGACACCAGGGGATAAGGTCCTTGCTGTGCTTGGGGAAGAAGTTGCTGGGCCTG